CGGCCAGTACAAACGCTGCGGTGTTATCTCTGTGCCAGATATCAAACGCTGCCAACTCACACACAACGACAGGTAAAGCTGCCCATGCACTGGGGGTTGGCTGAGTCCCAGCTCTGCTCAGCACAACTACCACAAGCTGCACAACCCTGTTTGCTCTGCTGTTGGGGCCAAGGCACTTCAGACTGATCCCCAGAATTAGAGGATGCTCTTACTGCTGATGTCTCTCTGCTCGTGTTCCTTATCAGTACAGTGGGATAATGCTGCTGCTCTGCCAAGATACTGTGAAGGCTCCTGTTGAAGGAACCAGCCTCATAGCAGTCACTAGCATACATGAGCCTTAGATGTTCTTTGTGCTCTAAGTTCACGCAGCAGTGTTCGAGCAGTTGGTTAATGCTTGAGTTCTCAAAAGTCCATCCTGTCCAAGAGTTGTTTCTAGCAGCTGTAGTGCCCATAAATACCATCACATTCGGCTCTGGTATCTGAAGATTTGAGGTACTTTTCCACAGTATGATTGGCAGTGACAATTGCAGTGAGCATTTGTGTCACTATGGCCCTACAGCCTCTCAGAGGTGAGAGTGTAACCCAGTACTGCTGCTTTTTCTGGGATTAGAGTTCCATATCAAGGGATCCACTAAAATATTTCTAAAGATACCCTGAGTATCAGGCTCTGAAATGATGTCTTCAGAGTTGTGTGCAGGCTGACCACCTCTGTGGGTTGGTTGTAGTTTTCCTTGTCTGGTGTTTCTAGTTATGGCTCCTGGTTAATACAGTTCCATGTGCAGGCAGGGAGTAGTGCACAGTGGGCTGTCTCCCCCATCCTAGGATCCCTCCTAGGATGCTGTCCTTGCCTTGGACTTTGTATCCCTTCAACCTTATGCAGCCCGTGGCAATACTTTTTGTCAGTTTTCCCATCACAGTTCTGCTGCTTGCTTTTCTTTTGAATTTATGTATTTAAATTATCACATACCTCAGAAGTGTAGAAATGTAAAGGCTTTAAAGCGATGCACACAAAGGATTAAGCTGTGTTTTTCTGTTTCCTTGCATTAGTGGCTTCACAGGGAAAATATGTGAATGAAAGGGACTCAAAGGAAAGAAGCAGTTCTTAGAGAAACAATGGAGCTTTCTAGCAGGGTGTTGGATGTGATCCTGCTGGTGTTGGTAGGACTGCCAGGGTGTCCTGATCTAGGTCACGCATTCATTACCTGGCTCTTTGCCCTGTATTTTGAATTCCCTCAGCTCCATGAATAGTAGGTTCTGAAGGATTTTCACATAAGCTTTATGGTATCTTTCCTTTGCATTGGAGTGTGGATGTTCATAAAATAAATTGGAGGGATTTTGCTGTAGCCGGGGAGCAAAGATTCAGCCTTCGAACCTATCTCCACTTGATTTCCAGGTTCATTCTGATAGCATGTGATGGCCTCTTTAAAGTCTTTACACCAGAAGAAGCTGTGAACTTCATTGTGTCCTGCCTGGAGGTGAGGAGAATGCAACATGGGGGCTGGGTTTGGCAGTGCAGGGGGCATCACACAGACTTCTACCAGCGTATCCTCCCTTATTCCTGACATTGCCTGTGTTTGATTTGCTTCCCCAAGCTTGGAAAATACAATTTGCTTGTACCTGCCTTTGCTGGGGGCAGTCAGTGTCATGTTTCCTTGTCTGAACAGGATAAGAACATCCAGATGAGAGAAGGGAAGCTAGAAGCAGACGCTCGATACGAAGCTGCGTGTAACAGACTGGCCAGCAAGGCAGTGCAGCGAGGCTCGGCCGACAACGTCACGGTCATGGTGGTCCGGATAGAGCACTGAGGGATGAGCTGCGGCGCATGTGAGGAGAGGGAGAGGTCTGTCCGTGTGCATATGTGGCCGAGGGAGGGAGGGTCCTGCTCTTCAGTGTAAATAAAGTTGGGTTTTTTTCTAATAGTCTTAGCTCACTTAGCTAGCAAGGATTGCTAAGTGGCTGCCAATGTGGGTCAGCCTATGCAGACAGCTCCTGTCAGCCCCCTGTGAATGTCTTGGCAACCACAGTGAACCCTTTTGGCAGGGGTGTTAGCAAGAGGCATCTGGGAGCATGAGCTCTGCCAGCTGTTTGAAACGGGGCAGTTCTGCTGTCCATTTCCTTGAGCAAGGTTCTGGGAGAGTCCTGAATTCTTAGGGCTCTGTGGGAGCTCCTGGGCAGACTATACTGTTGGTACTGTAGCCACCAGCTTGGGCTGTGGTGTGAGCTGTCCTCTTTGTGCTGGGAAGGAAATCTTTTGACTCTCAAGCTGGGCTGTGAGGTTGCCTGCAGCTGAGGGACACAAACACTGCTTGCAGAGCAGCAATGTACCTGCCCTCTGCTTGCAGAACGTTTTGAGAGTTTTACCCCAATGCTGATATGGAAAACGTGGCTGGAGTTTGCTCGTGATATTTTTTGGGAAAAGTGTTTTCAGCAAATAGACCTGCCAGGCAGCTGAGCTACAGGCCTGCTCCTCAGGTAGCACAGACAAGCACAGAGCCTGCATCTCAGGTTTTAGGTACTTGTTGCTAATAAATGTCCAGTATCTGATCCTGACCCAGTGCCTCTACCAGCTGTTGCTGCAAGACAGTGTGCTGTTTTCCAGAGAAAATTTGGCTTAAGACCAAATGACAGAATGAAAGCTAAATGGATTGGACCAAAGCACTTAAATTTCTGATTATGTAGCTCTCCCATGCCGTGGGTGAACCGGGGCAGGGAGGGAGGTGAGCCAAGGGGTCTCCGTGGGGGTTACTTGCACAACCTCCTTGCTCTGAGGAGGCAGTTGCAGTCCCAGGGAGGTGGGCAGGTTGATGCAGTGGTATTTGCCATTTTGTGCATAGCCCTGGACAGGGCTGTGAGGCTTCCAAGACTCGTTTCTGTTATCTGTATTCCCAGAACTTTGGGAGATGGTCCCAGATCCTGGGCTGTCTGTTTAGTGGAGCACACAAAAGCTGTCCTGTTGTTTGGACAGGTGGGTTGACCATCTTTTGTGGATTTCTGCTCCAGCACTAGTTGGTTGACATAGCCTGGCTCACACTAACTCTCCACATCTCCTGCAGAGGACTGAGGAAGGAACTGGGTGTCTGGTGCAGGCTTTGGGTAGTGCTTGCCCTCTGCCAGCTTGTTCTGCTCCCAGCCATTCCTGTGTACTTTGATATAAGGTTGCACTGCAGGATGAGCTGAGATCCCTTTGTTAGCAACACAGTCTGCTGCTGCTTCTCACAAAAGCCAAATTTGGAGAGCCCAGACAGAGTAGCACAGAATTACTTCAGACTGTGTAGCAGAAGAAACCCTGATGGCAGATCTCAGAAGAGCAACTTGCCCTCCTTTCTCACCTCTCCCTTTTTCCACCTCGTGCACTGGGGAGGGCTCTGGCCATGCTGTGAGAGCTGAGCCATGCTCCCAGTTCTGTGGCTCCCTCCAGGAGGCCCCTCTGCATTCCAGTGTGAGCTGGTGAGAGGAATGTCAGCTTGTTCTTCTCTGACTGTCTTTCCTTCCTCTCCCTCCTCTTAAAACGCTTCTTTCCTTCCCTTTAGGAAGAATTCAGAAAGCACAGCTCCAGTTAGGATCAGAATATGCAGCACTGTGGTACAACAGTGGTTGTTATGGTTAATAATAATTCCTGTAAAATGTCCATTTTTCAGGGCAAAGGGGAAAAGAAAGTGCTGTGGACCAGGTCTCACCATGGTTGGGAGTAGCCAGACAGTTAGAAAGGCAGGTTCAGCCCCAGCTTTAGTGGAAGTAAAAAATTACTTGCTTGAATTTCCTGGTAGGGTGGGGTCTGCAGGAGGTTTCCTGAAAATGCACTCGCCTTGGCTCAGTGCTCAAGCAGCATCCTGCTACAGAGGAGAGCTCCCAAGATCACCCTTCAGGGTGGCCCATGTGCAAGTGCTCTGCATACAGTTCTTCTCCCTTGGAGCTAACTGAGCTTCTGTCCCCTCCCAACACTTAAATTACCTCTCTAGTACCTCCAAATTAATCAGCTCTTTCAGTTTTGTGTTTGAGTGCACTGGGCTCCTGATACCTCACAGGCACAGGACAGCTTACAGCTGGGCAAGCCCCATTCTTGAACAGTGGATCCTTTTGTACCTTTTCAGGTGTGTGTAGTAGGAAGAGAGGCAGCTGATCAGAGTGAGGCTCCCTTGGCTTATCATGCATGGGGACTGGGAGGTGATGCCAGGGCCAACCTCCTCAGCTGGGCAGGAGCTGCAGGGGCCTCATCCCTGCCAGGAGGCTGCTGCCCACCAGATCAGCTGTGGGAGAAGCACAGCTTTGCTTTCAGGTAGAAGTTGTCTTTGCCCTGAGGGAGAAGTCAGCATTCAGACTGTACAGCCGGAGCCCTCCTCCCCCGGTCCAAACACTGTTACCCACAAATTGCTGCAACAGCTACTTCAGGAGGCTCCTCAAGGAGATGCAGCCTGTGGAGAAGAGCAGGCAGGGCCAGAAAAGCCCTCCTGAGCAAGGTTCCACACGGAGAAGGTGCCTCCTCCTGCCTGTGTGCGTGGATCCCTGGGGGAAGGTGGGGCTTGGGTGCAGCTCAGGCTATCTTGAGGTGTTGCTGGCACAACTTGCCCAGTACTAAGTGCTACTAAGAAATCGAGCGCCCGGGTCCTCCTCCCGCAGCCCTTGCTCGGTCACGTAGCCCTGTGCCCATCTTCAGCTCAGGCAGCTATCAGAGCCGGAGCAAAGAGCGTATCTGTGCTGCCCACAGCCTGGGCCCCGTGCCATGGGCAGGGAACGCCTGGCGTGGAAAGCCGTGGCACAAGAATTTGCTTTAATCGGATGTGCCGCGTTATTGGGGCATTGCTTTAATGATTAGTGTGCAGGATGTTTGCTTCTGCCAGCAAACATTCACTGCTCATACACTCCAGGGCAGCTAAAGTGATCCATAATCTGGTTTGGGCTGCTAAGACATTGGGCAGGGGAGGGAGGTCCACTGAGGGCAAAAATGGAGGTGGGGGGCTTTGTTCCAAGCATGGTGGGAGCTGAGCCCTGAGGAGAAGGCAACCATCTGACATCTGCCACTGTCAGCAGCATTTTCCAAGATAAATTTCCAGGCCTAGCCTTAAGTTAAAAGTGAATGCCTTTAGGTCCTTGTCAGGCTGTTTTATTATCATCTTCTCCATGATCTTTTGTTCATCCTCAGCTGGTTCTGCAGCACGAGCAGTATCAGACCAGACTGCAATTCCTGCAAGAGCAAATGGTCTTCCCTGGGCTCGGTGCTGAGCAGGGGAGATGTGATTGTGGCTGGCAAAGGGAAGGGTCTGGCTGCTCCTGGCACAAGTTCAGTGCCCTGCCTGGTGCCTCTTCACACCCCCAGCAGAACGGCGCTGAAATCAGAGCCCCTTCGAACAGTGAGGGGAGAGTCTGCAGCGTTCTCCACAAAAACAGAGGCGTACTGCCCAGCCTGGGGGGAGAGAGGGCTTATTAGCAGGGCTGGGACACCTCCCTCGGGCACCAGGCACGACCTGACAGAGCCAAGGAGAGATCTCTCCCCTGTGCGCAGCAGCTGAGAGGTGGAGGTGCCCACACCCTTCCTTCTGGGAAAAGAACACCGCAAGGCTTTAGGGCAGTCCAGCCATGATCTGTGCTACAGTGCAGCAGCAGAGCTCTACCCTGAGTGTCCTTGGGGCTTGGAGAAGCAGACTTGATGCCCAGCCCTGAGCTGGGGCCACAGAAGGCACCTTCCTGCCCAGTACTGTCCCCAGTGGTGCTGACACCACTAACCTGCAGGTAAAGGACTCCGGTGACAGAGATGGTGAACAGGTCACCCCTGCTCTCCAGCCGGGACGAAGTCTCCAAATTTCTGCAGAAGACAGAGGGTGGTCCTGGGGAGAGCATACCCCCTCCTTTCCCAGGGATGCTGGACTCCTTCCCCTCTCCCTGGCCCAGAGTCCCTTGCTGTTCCCTGCCATACCTGTTGTGCTGGCAGCGGGATTGCACACAGATCAGCACGCGCAGGCGCGTCCCCCGGCACCCCTGCCTCTTCTTCGGCGGCTCCCTGTGCACTGGGACAGAGCCGGGGGTGAGAGCCATCCCAGACCACCCTGCCAGGGCCGTGGGGCTGCCCAAGGGCTCACCGACGTGCAGCGTGGTGGTGAAGGTGTAGTACCCTGCGATGGGGGCTGTGTACTGCCCACTGGTCAGGTTCAGCCCTAGGCCACGGTGAAACATCTCCTCCCTCTCAGGCTGGGACAGGGAATGGCTGGAGTTAGAGAAGGAGCCCCTGTGCCTGGGCAGATGTCCCTGCAGACAGGGAAGAGGGGCAGGCTGGGCACTAACGATGTAGAACAGCTGCAGCTCCTGTCGTGTTCTCTGCTCCACGGAGATGTCTTCTCGCGTTCGGCAGTGGAAGGCTGCGTTCACGCGATGATGGGCCCCGGCCTGGGGGCTGCGTTCTTCCTCTTCCTTATGCCCTTCCCAGGCTGCCCTCTGCACCTTTGCCTGCTCCTTTGCTATTCCTGACCCAAACCCCACCGGGGTTCGGCGTTAGGAAAGAACCTCCACTTTTCCAGTCTCTGCCCAGCCCTACTGTGTCTCGGGTCGCTGTCCCCCCTCCGCTCCCGCCCTGGCCTCCGACCCGCGCCCCGGTACCTCTGAGCAGGATCTGCAGCTCCCTCAGGAGCTCCACGGGCACGGCGGGGGAGGCGGCGGGGGGGTCCGGGACAGCCCCTGGCACACTGCCCTGCTCCGGGGGCGGTTTTCCCGGAGAGCGGCCGCCCGCCGGTGCCGTGTCCGCCCCCGGCCCGCCACGGGCCCGACCGCCGCTTCCCCGCCCGGGGCTCCCGGCCAGCAGCATCCACGCCTGCCGGGGGTCCACGCCGGCCGCCCCCGGCCCTCCGCGTCCCGTCGCCGCCGCCGCCCATCCCGCAGCTGCTCCCAGGCCCGGCGGCCGCTCCCGAGCTGCCCGCGGGGGTTCGGTGCCGGCGCCGGCGGCACAGAGGAGCGCCAGGCACAGCTCCGACAGCCGCATCCCGCCGCCGCCGCTACCGGGAGGGCGGTCCCGACCCCGCCTCGGACCCGCCCCACTGCCGGGCTTTGCCCTCGGGGCGCGGGGACCCCCTCGCGTTTAAAACCCCGCGTGGCCGTGGGGAGCAGCGCGGGGCTCCTAAAGTGGGAGGTGCCCACCCCGCCCTGGGCATGTTTAACGTTTCTAAAATAGCGAACAACCGAAGGCGGGACAGCTAAGCCGTCCAGCCGTGCTGGCTGGGACAGGCCGACAGGGAAGCGTCGCTTTGTGCTCGCCCATCCCTCTACCACCGGTGCCAGCAGAGACGGGGCTGGGGCAGCAGTCACCGCACCAGGAGCAGGGAGGCGCCCGGGTGCTGGCTGCTTCGCCATGAGCGCAGATCGCTTCCCTGGGGCGCATGCTGTGTCTCACAGGAGAGAAACCAGGATTATGCACCCTGCCACAGGCCGCTCGGCCACCTGAGGACACAAAGCATCCAAAATGTGGCTTATCTCCTGTCATTCTGTACCACAGAGCACTGGGGCGAGTCTGACACTTAAATCTAAGCCAGAGAGGGGCTGGAGAGCTTTGGGTGTTGGGCAAGAGATTCCTCTGGTCCCACTTGGGTTTTTCCATGCTGGATGTCAGTGGAATGGGGAAAGAGGCCGTGACCCCCGAGCAGCAACATCTGACTTTGATGGGATGGACCACACTTTGGGAGGCCATGTAATACCCTAAAAGCTTTAGAGTTTTGGAGGGGGGAAAGGTAGTTAAAAAAAAAAATCGACCAACCAAAAAAACAAACCACAAGCCAAAAGAAGAGAGCATTAGCCAAAGCGTGTTTATAAGGAAAAGCCTTTTCCCTGCAGTGGTGGGGAAACACACTCATGCTGCCCCAGCCAGCCTGGCAGAGGGCTTTCCATCCCCCCTCACGGGGCTGAACAGGCCACAGGGAGACGCGAGAGGGGAGCGTGGCCGCATAGGGTGACGGGCTCTCCTACCACCCATGGTCACTCTGGAAAGCCTCTGTCCACTTGGAGGTGTCCATGAAGATGGAGGAGGAGCTGTGGAAGAGCCAGAGGCAGGGCAGGGAGCCCTCCCGTGTCCAGAGATCCTTGGCGCAGTCATACACCTCCATTTCTACCCGGTAGTCCCCATCCATGCCCTTCCAGTGGCCACCAGTGACAAAGAGACGGTCGCCCAGTGCCACCATCCCACCGTTCTCATGGAGCACATGCAGGAGCTGCACCTGTGTTGAGGGGCAGGGTGAGATGTGCAGGGACTCCTTGGTGACCTCCCACTCCCACTGCAGAGGACATCTATCCACCAGATGTGTCTCCCTGCCCCATCCTCTCTGTGAGGTTTGGGGGCCCTGGTGCCTAGTGCAGGAGGGATGGGGGAGCAGGGGAAGAAGGACTGGGGCATCCTCAGCTCCGCAGGAGTTAATAGAGCCAAGGGATGAGTGGGCAGGAGGGAGAAGGGGTGCTGGCACCCAGGGGGAGCAGGTGAGAACACCTTCCCCACCTCCCTGGGAGGGTGATTTTGCCTGGCCCCACATCCCACAACCTTCTGCCAGATGTTGGCCTCCGGGTTGTACACGTAGACCTTCTTGGTGTTGTCCCCAATAAGGTAGATGAGCCCGCGCAGGGTGGCACAGCGTGGGGCCGAGAGGTACTTGGGGATGAAGGGGGATGTGATCACACTCCACAAATCTGCAAGGAGCAGGCATTAGCAGCACGTCCCACCCTTGCCTCTCGATGCAGCTGCCAGTGACTGAAAAAAGCATCGCTGAGCCCATGGCTATTTCAGGGGGAATTTGAAAGGGAGGAGGCAGAGTAGCCAGGCAGACCTGCACCCACAGTCCCCACCCCAGGCGAGGGTCTTGCATAAAAAATAGAGGGAATGGGGACATGATTTGTAGTGGTGCTGTGGGATGGGGGAGAGGCTACCCAAGGAGGTGGCATTGTCACAGGGGTTAGTCTCTTCCTAAGGCAGGCAGCCTCCCCCACCCCTATGCCCCAGAGATCCCACTCCACTAAAGCTCGGGTCCAGGCTGTGTCAGATGTCTGACTCAGGTCTGTGCTGCCGGCAGCCGTGCTCCTGCTGGAGCCGTGTTCCCTGTGCCGCAGCCATCACTGCGCCCTGTTAGCACCTGCCCGCATGCCACAGGACCACACCTGAAAGCATAGGGGGTCAACTGCCTGGGGTGACCCCCCCTCACCACCCTCCCCAGGACAGTGCTGGTGGGTTGTGGTGGCAGGGCCCACTCTCACCTTGGACAGGGTTGTAGCACTGCAGGGTGAGCGCATTGTACTTGACGGCACAGGAGCCCACCAGGTAGAGCTTGCCCGAGCAGCTGGCGGCTGCAAAATTGCTCACGTACTTGAGGGCTGGGCTGATGGCACACCAGCTCTTGTTGTAGGGGTCATAGCGCTCCACCTCCACCACGTCCACCGTCGTCCCTGCAGGGTGATGGGACACTGCAGCCACCCCGCTGCTCTGGGGCACCCATGAACCCCCACCCTAGCAGCACCCAGAGGGTCTTTGCAGCCTTACCCCCAATGACGTAGATCTCACCATTGAGGACAGCACTGGTGTGGTTTGTCCGGGCTCTCAGCATGGAAGCGATGGGCTTCCAGAGGCCGTCCCTGGGGCAGAAGCACCATGCCTGGGTCGTTGACCACGTATCATTCTGGGACCCCCGGGAGCCGCCTGGGGAGAGATGGGTCAGATGGGCCACTGTCTCTGAGTGCAGCTGTCCCTGGGCATCTCTTGCCAGCATCCAGATTAGCCAAAGCAGGGAGTAAGAAGAGGACTTTGCTCAGAGAGGAGCCTCGGGCCTCATGCTAGTGCCTCGTGCTCATGTTTGTCCTCTACCATCCATCCCTGTTTCTTGAAGATGCCCACCCTGCACCAGCAGCCCTAGAACCTACCTGTGACATACACATCGTTGTTCAGAGTCACCAGGGAAAAGCCCCATTTGTTGTAATCAGGGAAGTCGGGCAGAGCCATCCATCGCTCTGAAACCCAGCAGAATCAAGCAATGACCTCCCAGCCAGCAATGGCACTTCTTAAGCCACCCCAGTTTCAACCCCATCTCCCACCTCAACCAATGCCCCTCCAAACTGACACTAGTTTGGCAAGAGGTGGTTTTGGGGTAGACAGAGGGTTAAATAACACGGGGGAGAGTGAAGGGGGAGGTGGGCACTTACTACTTTTGGGGTTGTAGAAGGCAAAGTTCCTGGAGGCAGCTGGCACCTCCAGCTCCCTCCCCTCATCTTCACCATCCTCCAGCACGCGGCCGCCAACCACCACCAGCACCTCCTCCAGCTTCTGTGGTGGGGCTGGGGCGTTCTTCGGGGCACCAGTGTTGCTCTGCCCCTGATGAAGAGGCCAGAGCAGAACAGTCAGGCTCCTCCCTCCAGGCTCAGGAAGTGGGATTTGGGGGCAGGGGATACCCACCATGGTGCAGGATCGGGCGACGAGGGCCTTGATGGCATCTGAGTCACGCACAAGGGGCTCAGTGGCAAGTAGGTTCTGCAGGTACTGGTCAGGCAGCGAGACCAGGTGGGTCAGCTCCAGCAGCTCGGGTAGGAACTGAGCTCGGGGCCCCGGGTCGTGGCGTACCCAGCGAAGCACAGCCTCGACCAGGCTACGTTCCTCCTGCACCTGCAGCTGGTCATTGGAGAGGTAGGTGGCCAACCTCTCCTTGGAGAGCTGGAGGAACTCCTCCTGCAGAGAGACGGCTTCAAAGTTCTCCTGCAAGAAAGACCAAGCCTTGGAGGAGACCTCAGGGCAGCCGTGGCTCTCACCGAACTCACAGATACCTAGGCAGTTGGTGGCGTCCATCTGCTGCCGGAGGTAGCGGCTGCAGACCTTCTGGATAGCAGGGAAGTGGAGCTGGCTGGAGGTCCGCATCAGCCCCTCCACGTTGCCCTGGTTGATGGTGACCTTCCCTGTGTAGGCGAAGTTGAGCAGCATCTCCAGTGCACTGGGATCTACCTCCTTCAGCTCCACCCGCGCCGCGATGCTCTCGGCAAAGTCTCCAGAGAACATGGCATAGAAGTAATGGCTGCAGAGGGCCAGGACGCCACGGTGGCAAGGGAACTCCTGCCCACCCACCACCAGTGTCACATCGGCCAGTTTAGGGTTGGTGCGCAGCTGCTGCAGCCCCTCCAGCACGCCCTGGGCGTGTGAAGGCAGGCAGAAGTCAAAGTCGTCCACATTCCTCACCATGGTGCTGAGGATGGCCGCTGGGCCTGGCAGGCAGCACCCGAGCAGAGTGAGGCGAGGATTTCCCTGCCAGGAAAAGGCGATAGTGTCTCCCTTTCCCCCTGCCCCGGCACCCCCCTCGCTTTCCCAGCGCCCGAGTCACGATCAGCAGTGGTGGCAGAAGTGCTCCCCGCAGCGCCCCCACTCCCAGGCCATGGTTTCTCCTCCCCAGGCCGCAGCTGCCCTGCTGGGGCTGCGACCGGCCTTTTGGGGGTGATTTGTGGCCGGGTTGAGGTCCCCCCGGCGCAGTCGCTCCCGCTCTCACCAGCGCTCCACAGCCCCGGCCGGCCCGCGGGAGGGAAGTGGTCACCGTCCCGGCGCTGGGCAGGGACGCGCCGCGCGACACGGGATTAGCCGGGACAGGGGGCCACATGCTATTTTTAGGCAGCACCTGGACACTGCCCCCTGCTCTTAAAGGCACCGCACGGGCAGAGCCGTCGCCACCGCCCATCCCCGTCGCCCCGCGGCGTTGCTGCCTTTAGTAAAGTCTCCCCCTCGTGCGGGGGTCGGCTGGGCACCGTGCCTGGCGGTACCCGCTCCCACAGCAGCCCCCTCCGCCCTGTCTGTAGGCGGGGGTCCCCGCGATGCCCCTCCTCGTTCCCCCGGCCGGGAGTGCCGGTGCCGGTGTAAATGTGTGGCGCAGCCTGGACACTCCGTGGGCAGCCAGGGCTTTCTGTGCTGGCACCTTTTCCCTGCGAGGAATCCTCATTTGTATCGGGTTTGGGGGGGGCAAGCCAGTAATGCCTGGCCGAGGCTGACCAGGGGACATCAGCCCTGTTTCCCGGGACAGAAAGCTTGTGAGGTTTGGCTTTCAGGTGCAGTGTGTGGCGCAGCCTGGGCACTCCGTGGGCAGCCA